TGGGAGAGTTATGGGACTATGGGGACTGGAAGAGTATGGGAAGGAGGATTCCAATTTGTTGGATTGGGCTGTGATTTTCTTTTTATCCACTTTGGCAATTTCTTCCCTGCAAGACATCTCAAGTCTCAATGCAACTTGTAGCAGTTATGAACTTTCATTTGTTTACATATGTCAAGATCTCCCTTATATACATGTAGTAGTATACTGCCTACCATATCCCTCAGGACCATGGGCAATAAACAAGGATTCAAAAATAAATAAATAAATAAATAAATAACTGCTATTTCATGTCTTGAAGGCTCAGTAGAAGCTCCAAGGTGGATCATCCTGTTGTTTGCAACTTTGTTGCTGTAATCATACTCATCCTCAGAGAGGATGATGGTATTAATGATATCCACTGGCCACCTACACCTGGATGTAAACCTTTGGATGAAAGTATTCATTTGGATAGTGAGGCTAATGTCTTGATCACACTCAAAAGACCCACACCAAAGGCAGGCAGGCACATTCAGTTCAACTCCAGCTTCACAGATTGTATCTGAGCCTCTGCCTTTCTCACTCAGAGAGAGATGATAAGGTTAGCCAAAACTCAGCCCAGAGGTTCATAAATTAAGTGGATCATGAAGTGCTATATTGTACAGGTACATCACAACCTACGACACTAGGTTCATTTATAAATTGCTACTATTACAACAAATTGCTTATGTCTACAAATTTGGCTAATTGTAAGAGCATTAGTTTACAAAACATCTACGACTTGCTAGTCAATACACACTGAGATGTGCTCCGCCTTTTCCATCCCAATTAGTTACCATCCCAATTTGTCTTTCATTTTTACAGTCATCCAAATGAGTTGGGGATTGGGTTTAAATCAAAAATTTGCTCCGAATCAATACTAAGGTCAATTCTGGCCTAGATTTCAAGTACAAAATAATTTTTACGACTTTTTTTATCCTTGCCGACCAGCATCAAATTGAACTATTGATTGCATGTGTAAATTGACATCATGAGGTAGTATGACTACATCATGAAGTAGTATGACTACGCTAAAATGTACTCCAATTCTCCCATTGCAATACCTCTGGATCCCGCTGCAAGCTCTTGCAACACCTTGACCCACTTGCTCTGGCAAAACACTGCTAGGTTCCTTCGCATTGCTATCTGATGAGCAGCATAAGCAGAGCATCCCTCAATCACTTCCGGGACCATGTCATGGAATTGAGCATTCAGGCTGTCAGCAGCACATTTCTCCCACTGTAGTGCCTGTTTTTCAAATGTTAAAAGTGACCATTGCATCTCTTCCTGAATGAGAAGACATTCCTCCTGCCATTGGTGAGCCCTGGCAGAGGCCTTACACCAAGAAATCCTCAAGCCTAGGAAACGGATTAGATACTATTAAAGGGGTTTTCAATGAAATGAAGACATACTATCATGAATTGCCTTGTTGTCCTTGCAGTTTACACCCATTGCATACTATATCCAAGACAATGTGAAATCCATCTCCCGTTCATCATGCAGAGCATCTTGTTTGATACCGCGAATATCCTCAGCATTAAGCTTTCGCAGTCCACTGGTGACATGACCAACTGCTTTGGCATGTTTGTCCACCATAGCAAACAACATCCTGTACTTCGCTGCACATGCATCGATCTTCGTGGAAATCACATTCACAGTTTGGTTGCTTTTTGTTCCATTGTATTGACCATGTAGGTACTTCAGCTTGTAAGCAATGAGGCCAGTGTGCACCAGCAAATGCTTTTGCATTTGTTCAAGCGAATCATGACAGTAAGCATACTGCAATCGCCATTTGATATCAAGCAAGGCTTTCGAGCATGCTCCACCAAGATCAACAATTTCAGATGGTAGGAGTAAGGGAATGTTCCAAAGAGCGCTATTGCCAGGTTGCGAGTTGAGCTGGTCATGAAGGACCACCGCATGAGGGATGTGGAGCTGCTGGGCTTTGAAGAAGGCATCCATTCGGCTGAGGATGCTAAAGCCACGATCCAAGAGTTGTGCTTTCTGCAGGTCTGTCAGATGCAGGCTTTGATGCTTGGAGTCCCATTTAAAATGTTGGCTATAAACATCATAAGTGAGCAGTCAATGAAACAGACCAAAACTGAGGACTCACATAACTTCTTTGAGATCCAAACCTTCCGCAATAAGAGTCGTCACTGATACAGTCACTTCAATTGCTTTCTTCCCGAAGTCCTTCCTTGTACGCTCTTCCTCCTCAAGTGCTAGCTCCAAGCGCACGTGATGTCCAGTAGCAGCTATTCAAAAACAATGCACAATTAGTTACAACCTAACAGCAAAGCACAGTGCTACTTACAGCGAACTTTAGGAATACAGTGACGGCAACTATTGAGGAACCACCCAAGAGTATTTAAATTGTCATTGTAATGGTTTCAAGCTTATTACTAGTCATAGCGACTATCTAAAATGCTGAAATATATTGTGTATATACTAGACATTGTACTTTACAATATGAATGTAAAAAAGATACAAAATAGATCAGGATAACTGCTTTCCCAATTTGGGGTGGTTCATCAATAGTTGCTGTCACTGTAAATGGATTAGGTTTATTATCAAGCTCCCAGGTCTTTTTGGTCTCAGCCCATTCCTTCACATACTCGGGCTTGATGCCCTTGGTCAGGTACTTAAGGGCTTCAACTTGTATGGGCCTGTTCTCCAGTGCTTCCTCTGCACGATCTAACAAGTAAGATGCTACAGACAGTGAGTGAGTGCTAAAAATGAAACATGACAAGAAATGCACCTAGAGTTATTGTCTTTCACCAATTCCAATCACCAAAATGTTCATCCAACATGTCCCAATGCGAGCCAGGTCCCATCTTTTTCGTACTACCTGCCAAGCTATTTGAAACAGCCCAAGCACATTCTGGACCCTCTGTGTCAGTTTGACTAACACCAGGCACCCAGTTAAAGGAGAAAATGTTTTGGCATTGCTCAATATGAGCATTGAGATGAAATTTGGGCACCAATAGCTGGAATGCACTGCAAGGTTGGGTTGGGTGAAAAGGCACAGGGTACATTTTGAGATGGTTGAAGAGACAAACACTCCAATGACACATAACATCGTATCCACTGGTAATAAGCTTTGGTGTCTTGTACATCATAGATCGACACCAGATGTAGTCAAGGTTGATTTGGCTAAACAAAGTTGAGAAATAAGATAAAAGTGATGAGATAAGAAATGTACCGTTTGCCATAGCATAGATTGCATGTTGACCTGGGTTGAAAGCAATCATGCCTTGCACAAAACACAGAAGCTATTTCTCGCAATGTGAGATTCTTTTCTCACCGACTGTTTGATTCATGGATGGCTTTGTGATCATTGCAGGTGGGCTTTGTTGGAGGTAATTTCTTATCAAACTCATTGACATGTGCCATGAAATTGGATCCCGCTCCTCTGAGGAAGTATTCAACCTGGTGCACTTTATTTTCATATCTTGAGCAGTGAACAGTTTGTAGATGAAGCTGCAAGGGTATTTAGAAGACCAAACCAGAAAAGGCAGAGGATGTTCACCTTTTGGATGGATGAGCGGACTCGTAGTCCGGCGGAAGGTTTATATCAGGATAAGGCAAGCCACACAAACAACTGCGAGATCTCCCATTTGAACACTATCACAACCATTTGGATCATGGCCTCTTCCGTGACGCTTGTACAAACAAACTGTCCGCCACTGTCTGGAAGCACGCATGAATTCTCGAAGATGAGACTATAGAAACCGTAAGAATAGAATCAAAAAATGCAGGGCTCAGTGGAACATACCGGTGGAACGTTCATTCCTGTGTTGTCTGTCAGGCGCTCTAGGGTTTTGTAGAATTCAGAACTGGATGTCTTTGTCATAAGGTTTAACATTTGGAAATGCTCCAAGCAGTCGAAGCTCACTGCCGTCTTGGGGTTACTGATAGTTGCAGGCCAAAGTTGTGCACACAGGAGCTGTTGGCAATGGGTATCAGCTAGATGACAAGTGCAGTATTGAACCATGATATTTTGGATCCCACTCTTGTCAACGACATTAAGGGTCCCTAGCGAGGCTATGCTGACCATCAAGCAAGGCTTCTCTTTCGTATATCCACCTAATTCTAAGATCAACCCACAATCCTTGAGAGTGCGGCGCACGAAGAATTGGCCATTCCATTGCTATGGCAAAGAGTCATTAGTAATTGAATATCCCTAGAAAAATGGAACGTACTCACCTCCAGCCTATGGAAAGGCATGTAAGCATGGCAATCTACCATACAATCTTCACAGTAAAGTTCCGGCGTATAACAATCGCAACAACGATGTGGATTATCAATGACAAAATTACAACCACAACAACACTGTGTACGGGTAGAAAATTGGCCTCGTCCTTCAAGCCATAGCATCTCCTGAACATACAAATTTAACTCAGGATGCCATTCTGCTAGTTTCTGGCATTGCAATGAGCTAAGGAAAGGCAAGAACTTTGGCCATACTCACATTTCGTGACCCATCTTTATTACATCTGAAACTGTCCTCCTCATCTGCATCAATCTCTTCACCTGCTAAAGGTTTTGAAGCCTTTTGTCCAAAGTCTTGGAAGGAATAAGAGACAAGGCTGAGTGTCGTTGCAATAGATGTCCGGATTAATAAAGGAGTATCCTGCAGGGGCATGAAGCTGGTTGGTGTTGGTTCAATTATTGGCTCCTCTTCTTCAGAATCACCGGAATCATTGAAGTTAGTGGAGTGGTGAGAAGTTCGAGAGTTAGAGGAAGTAGATGTAGATATATTGATGTGACTGTAATGAACAGGCTTTTTTGGACGTTCAGGCTTGTGGAAAGGCTCCTCATCCTCAGATTTGCTGTGGTCATTGGTCGAGACCCTGGCACTGAGTGTTTTGAATTTTTTGTACTTCATGAAGAGGTCAGAGATAGAGAAAAGAGATCATACGTACACAGAATACATATGCGTCCATTGCCTCTTACATATATACATTAACCAAGGTATCTATAATGGCTTTGTAGCTTAGTGGTAACGTGTACTGAAATATTTAAAGTGTCATTGGTTCAAATCCAATAGGGCCCTATTATTTGTTGACCTCTTGGAAACATAGATTTTTTTGTCGCACGCAACATTAGTCCAGATTCTTTTTAGCAAGGGCATGCCCTCAATGTGCTTATACTCTGAATAAAACATGCTAGATGAATTACTATTTTGTCAACATATAAGCAACAAGAAATACATATACATCAGTCTGCAAAGGTAACTATTCATCATACTGGCCCCCCGGATAGACCCAACGAAGACCATCTGCCCAAGGTCGTAGCTCGGAGCACAGTTCATCTTCTGGCGCGATAGAAAACGGAACGTATGGGGGAAAAGGTGTGTGAACAGTGAGAAAAGTGAAAGGAAGACGGTTCAAACGCATCCAAGATACAACCGCATGTGAGAGTTCTTTGGACCACGTTTCTTTCTGAATAGTGGCAACAGTTGCAGTCGGATGCTTAAGAACCCTCTCTAGAAATGATTCAAGGGCCTGATGATGTAGAGTCAGACTAGCAATTGACAAAATAAATGGAAATGACACACCTGCTGCAACATACCCCAATACTTCGCAGCCTGCTCAGATCCGTGCTCGGCCATAAATGCCTTGATCTTCAATTTGGAATCCTAAATGAAATTGATAAGTATAAGCATTGATATCAAAGACAATGAAATTAAACAAACCGCAATGTGCAAAGACAATGTTAAATTAGCAAGTGTGTTGTGTCGAAGTAGATGATTGGCATCATCAGGGAGGCTCTTCCAAAGAAAACGTTTGATATCTTCATCCAGATCCTCATCAAAATCTCCACAGTAAATGATGCGCGTGAGCCGATCTGTGTGCTGGGCCAACACCTTTCGTCCAGGAGTACAGTCTTCAGGGAAAGCAAAAAGCCACATGTAAGTAGTTTGATGAAAGAAATTGGCTATCTGTCCGAGCTTCTTTGCATGCACATAGGCAGGAAGTAAAGCAAGACCAAAAGACTTTCAGGCAGCATAATCCTGCCAAAAATCAAAATGACCATGGTATGGAGAGTTGACGTGTTGAGTCTTCAATAGATAATCCTGATGTAATTTGAACTTGGTTCGTTTGGACCCAAATGGTAAGGGACAAACTTGCATCCGCGGCTCCTTTTCAAAATGTTAGCATCGGCAATAGCCAGACTCAAGCAACATACCAGGGAATAAAACTTTGATGCCACATTGGCTTGCCAAGATTCTAGATCTATCCTGTATCAGCATTGCGATGACATTTCAGCCATATCCTTCATTGGAAAATTGAAGTTTATGAATCAGAAAGTTTATGAAGCAACAAGCCAGAGTTAAAGGTTCAATGGTGCTAACGTCCAATTGTGGGTGCTTATGCTCCAGCCACTCTCAGTGCTTCCAACTATACAGCTTGAATGGTGCTGTACTTCTTCAATTTGATTGGGCTCTTGCTTTTTACCACCTCTATCTAGCTCTATCCCTTACTCAACTTTTTCCTGCTGCTCATGTCTCTTGTTATCGAAGCGTTTATTAATTTTGAAAGTCACAACAGTCTTATTGACCATCTCACGAGTGCCTATGCAGAGGCTAAACGACATGGTGAAACACCTCTTTTCCTCACGGCAACATATATGCGGTGGATCCGCACTTTTCCACAGGACTCTCAACAGCTATCAGCCCAAAAAATACCATGGGAAACGGGCCTCTAAGCCTGTATATCCTCCTAATGGAACGCCGCAAACTTCTGATTACTTGGACGTGGTTAAATCCACACTCAAATCCATTTGTAGAGTAGGTCTTTGATTTAATCTCATCATGAGGTACCCTCTAATCTTTTACGTTCAGGATTCACACCAGATTGTTGATGCCATGTTTGAATTTGTGCTAGAAGGCGCGTTGCTCAACCAGGAGCAGCGCTTGATTGATGTGAGAATTCTCTTCCAATTCATGCTTGCATTTATGAAGTAACCTAATTTACAGTACATCGAAGTAGTCATGGGCAAGAATCATGACTCTATCTGACTCTTGACTCTTTGCTAGGATACTCTCACTCCAAAACCCATGATCTTAACTCTAGCCATGAGTAGAATCACTTAAGCACAAGTGACTCTAGGATAGGATCACCTAGAGTCAAGAGTCAAATCAATCCAAGGATACTCTAGAGTGAACATTGAATAACCCAAAAGTGTTGTATTAGATGTATTAAATATTAGTATACAACCCTCAGCAGTAGCAATATTGATGTTTCAGATATGTTTCACTCATAATACATCATATACAGCACATAGCAAGTATTTAAGAGTATCCTTGCTAGAGTATCCTAGGTCCCAAACCAGGTGATTCTAACTCTACTCCAGAGTAGAGTCATGATCCTTTTTTTCTTGTGGTATGACTCTATCCTAGAATCATTTTCAAGGATCATGACTAGAGTATCCTTGATGATTCATGATTCTTGCCCATGACTACATCGAAGAGGCTTTGGAAAAGTCGATCAGGATTGCGGGGCCCTTTATCAAGCACATCAAAAAATCTACCTGGATGGCTGAGCTAGAGCATGCGGTCTATTGTTGAATGGTATATAACCATTTGCTGCTCTCAATGATCACGTCTGACGAGGCGTTCATGTGTCTCCCTCCTTGTTACGTCTGCTACTTGCCCGAAATGCCCAACAAAGCGTTTTTGATGAAGTGGAGACTCCCTACCCCTATACTGGATCATATCAATGGTCAGGAGGACAAAATATATGATGAACTAATGTCCAACTGGGAAGAGAAGCTTCGATCTGTCCATTCTGACTTCCTTGGGTCCAATGGTTTCCTTAGTGATCGTGACCAGGAGGAAGACAAGAGTGTTGATGGATCAGAGTCAGCAGCTTTGGTGGAGGAGGAGGAGGAGGTTGAGCTCAAGTCTATGAGCAATGACAATTATATCCCTGATGCTGATGATGAAAGCGACAGCAATGATGAATTCGACAATGGGGCAGATGAGGAAAAATCTCCATGGATTAAACTCTACTAAAAATCAGTACTTATCGATCTGCTCACATTTATATAGTAGGAGTACTATTTCTTGTAACCATTTTTCTTGAATGATTTTGATATGTTGATTCTATTGATTGCAATGAGTTTAAGCTTTACTGATTACTGACTCGAAAACGTGAGTTCAATTCTCATGGGACGGACTTTGAATTCAAGCCACCAACTGGCAAGTTTATTTTGTAAGCACGTCCTTCTTTACCATCATGTCCTCTAATCTGCTTGCTTATTTCAAAATCGAACCAAGCGAAGTTGTCAAGGCTGTAAAAGCAATTCTTACCAGTGCCATCTCAATTTCTCCAGATACAAATTTTACAATGTAAGTATTGATGTTTTCAGGTCTGTATCAACTAACCAAGCTTTCAGTGAAGGGACCAAAGCTATATTCATGATGCCAAACACCCCCTCTGCCCAAGAATGAGTGTAAAGCAAGATCACGGAAGCTTTTTGTTGAGGCGTTCTTGGTGCCTTTGAGCATATCTGCCGCGATCCTGATCAACCAAGTCATCGAAAGAAGCTCCCAGCTTATGCCCATGTTGTCAGGGCTCAATGATTGAAGGTCTGGCCTGTCAAGCCAGTCAAGGAGGGCGGCCCTGTTGACCGCTTGGCCTTCATCCGAGAGGAGATGTTGGTAAGTACAATTTAAGTAACTAATTGGTTCTCAAAATCACGATTAAAACCTTCCACAACAGGACATAATGAACGAAATTCCCCTGGTGACTGTGCGCCATATCACCCTGAATGGTTCTGCTGGGGTCAAAGGTAAACGGGAGCCCTATGGTGCTTTGCCTAGCTGGACCAATTGGTGCAAAATGCTTTTTGACCATCTGAACGCATCCAGCTGCCAAATCTGAAGAAATTGGGCATACTAAGGCTCTCGGTATGGAGAAGCTGCTTGGTACCCGTATACCATCCCATAAAGAGCATATTTTGCTAATTTTATGGGTCGTATTGTTATGGCCGTAACCGTATACGGTATGGTGCGGATCCCTATAAGAGACTTTTATTGCACTCAATTCTGATTGAGGTTGAAACAATGCTACCCAGGCCATGAAGGTCCTGCAGTAACACAACATCTGGCCCTGATGCCCAGCACACTGTTTGCTTGACCCTTCATGTTCATCAAGATGCATGCAGGTTGGTTGAGGTCAAGAGAATAAGAAAACTGGCGCTCAAATTCCAATTGAGGTTGAAGCAAGGCTACCCAAGCCATGAAGATCTTGCAGTAACACAACCTCCAGCCCTGATGTCCAGCATGCCATTTGCTGAACCCTTCACGTTCATCAAGACACAGGTTGAGGTTAAGAGAATGAGAAAAATAGGCGTCCCAAATATCACCTGATTTTTAGCGCTGAAAATGGCACTCCAGCATTAGCTGCATTCGGCAACTTGTCTGAGTTAAAATACTTGGGTGTGGGATTCAGCATTTTTACTCACTCCCACAGCCACGCTCCCTCAAGTATAACCCCTCTTGTCCTTCAATCTCCCATTAAAGCTGCAAACTTGCTGATATAGTGAGTTTTTGTTTGCCACACTTGGAGGGGGGGCCAGGTTCCAGTTGTCAACAAGCTGCTGTCTGTTATCACTTGTTCATCCACTTATTGTGCCAAATTTAAGCACCAAAACACCCAGCATGCATAAATTTGAAAACAACAATATGTCAATAATGAAAATAGGTCAAACACTGACTTGGTAATTGAGTTTTCTGTTCTTCAATGTAAATAATAACATTTGGTAGTGGTGCAGTAGCTGCCGTGATGCTTTGTTCCCACGCATGGAGTTTGAGAGAATGAGGATTCTTGGAAATCAACTGGAGTCAGTGGAATTGGCTCCCTGTTCCAGATCAATCTGCTTTGGCTCTCCAGGAAGTGGTGCCTGCATTGAATTGATAGGTATCAATGAAGAAGGTCCAGGGGATAATTTCTTGGTTTTTCCAGCTTGTTGGAATGCTGCCACAAAGAATAAAAAGCAATGCTCACCTTATCATGTAAGAATCATTTTTGTTATCTGGTAGACTG